AAAGATGGTGCCTAAAAGAGGGATTGTCCACAAACCAGACAAAAACCTCTGTTGTTGCATTCACAAGAAAAAGGAACCTTCAAGGAATGAAGGAGCTTTATATGTGGGGACAACATCTAAAAATGGCAAAGGAGGTTAAATATCTTGGAATCACTCTCGATGACAAGCTTAGCTTCTGCAGCCATATAGAAAAAACAACAGAAAAAGCTGTAAGAATACTATGGGCCTGTAGACGGATGGTAGGGAACGAATGGGGGCTTAAACCAAGTATGATGCACTGGCTTTACACTATGGTTGTAGTACCTGTTATAACTTACTCATCAGTCATATGGTGGCACAAGACTAAAAGCATAACAGCTAAAAGAAAATTAGACAAGGTACAAAGACTAGCCTGTCTAATAATAACAGGGGCATTTAGAACTACGCCCACAGCAGCAATGGAGCTACTGTTAGGTCTTCCTCCACTACATCTCGTGGTGGAGAAGGAGGCTATGGCGGCGGCATACAGGCTGTTTACTAATGGATTTGGATGGAAACTTTCGAGAAAAGGACACCACACAATGATATTAGAGAAATTAAAACAAAATCCGGTACTAAGAATGCCATCTGATAGAACGCCCATTATTCACTACTTCAGGAAACCTTTTGATATTCAAATACCAGAAAGGGCAAAAAACCGGGAAAAAAGGGAAAAACAAAACGAATCAATCTGGTATACAGACGGTTCGAAAATGAAAAACAGCACAGGAGCTGCGATCTACCATGTGAACTCAGGGAGGACAATTAGTTTGAACCTGGGGTCACTGACAACAGTCTTCCAGGCTGAAGTAACAGCAATAAATGCCTGCGCCAAAGTCATGTTAAATGACTCTCTTAGAGATAAGAGAATCGTTATCATGACAGACAGACAGTCAGGCAGCCCTTAAAGCACTAAAAAGGGTAGAAGTACAATCTAAATCAATATTTGATTGCCAACAGTCCCTCCAGGCTCTGGCAGAACATAACAAGGTCACTCTTGAATGGGTGCCAGGTCATGAGGGAGTGCTTGCAAACGAGAAAGCAGACCTCCTAGAAAGGGAGCGGAAAAAACTCTTATTGGACCAGAACCCACATGTGGTATCTCATACCAACATGTTAAATGGGTGTTAAAGGAACAAATAAAAAGAGAACACCATAGGCTCTGGATGGAACTTCCTGGACTTAGACAGTCCAAAAGATTCATAGAGGGGCCATACACCAGCAGACAACACCAACTGCTAAACCTTAGCAGAAGCGAACTCAAGGCCGTAATAGGACTCCTTACGGGACACTGCGGCCTTAGAAGACACCTAAATCTCTTAGGGATATCTGATGACTCCCTATGTAGAATATGTAAAGAGGAGGACGAAACTCCTATTCACATACTATGCCACTGCCGGAACCTTAAATGGGAACGGGAATGGTACTTCGGGGTACAATATCAGGAACCTGAAGAAATCGCGAAAGCGCCCATCAGACATATTCTTGAATTCATCAAGAAAATAAATCTGATGGGATAGAAACTGTGAGGGGTACAATAAGCCTAGAGCTTCAGTACAAGTGGGCTTTGAACCACGCCCTAACTCAGATGATGATGATGATATTCATTTCCCTAAATTCTACTTAGACCTACCGTATAACGAACTTTTTTTGTAATGAAATAATGTATGACTCTGTATGTGAACTAATAAGATTTGTTTGATAAACAACTCCAAAGGTAAAAGACAATTATTTTCTATTTTTTTGCCAACAATTTCAACATTTTGTTGATTTTTTCACCTTACATATTCAAACGCAATCACCCTGTAACTACGAAATAATTTTGGCTGCCCTCAAATAGTACAAGGGGTATATTTCTAATCCAACACAGTGTGTCAAATTATCTAATATACAGTATTTCTCTAAAACATATTTACTTATGTCAGTATATTTATTGTTTAAAATTCATATATTTACCAATAAGAATTTTGAACGAGTACATCGAGTACTATACGATATTAAATATTGAGAAACTTTGACGGTGATATATTTTTTTCGGTGTTTCAGCTATTTTTGTTCGGTGCCCTTCGTTACAGTCAGTAGAATTTACAATCATAACCTGTCCCAGTTGTGTTTCGCAACCACTGATATAGTTGGAGGATTCAATATTCATAGTATGAACAAAATGTTTAACATTAAATGAGCATTCTTTATCCCAAATTTCCAGTTCCAACTTCCGAACCTCAAGCTGAAGTTTCTTTATTTTAAGAGATTGAGTGTTCTTAGCATCATCTGGTTGCTGAACGATAACTCTTTTCTTACCTACAAAAATAATATATGTAATCATTTGAATTAGAAACTAGATTGATTTGTTTTGAAATAATTTTAGTCACTTTATATTTTTACCTCTACATGAACTTTGTGGAAGCAAGCACTTGCTTTTTGTGGTGCCATATCATCGTTTTCATTGGGCATAGAATAACTAAAGTCCTCGGTAATGTCTTTTATATTCGGAAACAGTTTCCATTGAATCGGGTACGCCAATTCCTTAAACAACAGGAGATTTCTTTCCAATTATTTCTATCACTAGTTTATCAGTGTCATCTAATTTTGATTCGGGACCTCCTTGTACACCAGTTTTATTTGATTGATCAATTTTTGTCTGTAAGTAATCAACTAAAAATCTTTTATATGCTTTACAAGTGAGGACTGCTCAATAGTAAAATTAAAAACTATTAACATTAATTACACAGAATGCAAAAAATATTTTTTTTTTTTTGGTGTACGGCTTCAACATCTAAAGTCATTAGCCTAATGTTCTATGTAGGTTATGGATTGTACTAGTAGTCTAGTACTCCATAGTGCAGGAGTATTAGTACTCTACTACTCCTACACCCCAAAATTGTCCAAATAACTGATTTATAGTGTATTTTTTAGTGCTGATTTCAAAAACAAAATTCATTTTTTCGGCCGCCTCAGAATATCTCCCAAGAATGGTGTATTTTGGGTAAAAAAACTATATTTTACGCTAAAGTTTCTAAATTTTAATAAGCAGATAAAAGATGGCATGGTTTACATATTATACACAACAGAATATTGAAAAAATGCATAACTATAAAGGCCAAAAATATAACAGCTTTGAAAATTTTTGCAAAACTGTATTTGATGAAATATTTTTAAATATTTTCCCATAATCAGCACTAAACATTTTATAAAAATTACTGATTACATTTGAGATTATTTTTTTGTTTCAGATCTGTGTTATAAAAAAATTAAAACAATAATCAGAAGTTTTACAGTATTAAAAGTTATAATACACCTTAGGCTCTAATGTGATCGATTTTATCACAATGTTTCCATTATTTAGACACACCAATGTTGAATAAGCTTTGTTAAAGCATTATGTATAAAAAACTAATTCTTAAATGTGGCGAAATCTCATAGAATGCAATTGAAATACAATAATTAAAGTAAATAACTGCATTTATGTAGTCGTATTATAAATAAAGATAACACTTGCCATTATTCTGGCCTAAGGTCCAGTTGCGTCGCGTACATAACAAAACTCTTTGTCACTTCCTAGTAGACCTATTGAAACAGCATAATCTCTTACATTTATCCATGCTGTTTTCCGTGATTATTTGGTAATAGTAGTAGAAAACTGACCGAAAAGTTCATTTTTTAATTCTAATTAATTCTAATATTTTTCTTAAAAAGTTTTGATTTTTCATTTTCTTTTCTTCCCTTTTGCTTAATTTAGGCATCTTTTATTTCAATAAGAATGTCACTTCACAATTATTAAAAAATACTACCTTTTGACATATCAACTAAACTTCAATAAGGACACTAGATCTAGTAGGTAGCTGCCATGCTGCTAATATATTAGAAACTAATAATATGTGTAAATTAAAATAATCTGTGAAACAGAAAACAGCCAACTTATATTATTATTTTATGAGTCTAATATATACTAATAATATAAGTCATTTTTATGAAATAGGCCCCTAGAGACATTTAATTTTGCCTCATGATTCCATTGGGCTTGTATTTGTCGTAGAGTAGCCCTTCTGGTTTTGCAAATCTTTACCAGAACACGGCGTTCTCTTTCTGTGATAGTACGCGGTCGGTCTGGACTTAAACAATAAAGATTAGCTTCCGAATATTTATTTGTCGGTAAATTTGATCAACTTTGTTATGTAGTTTATACAAAATAAAAAAATATTTCCTTACGATCAGATTCTATGTTAAGTAAAGAGTATGTGACTTGATTTTTCACTCAGGCAAATCGAAAAAAAATATTTAAAATAAACATAAACATATTTTTTTAATTTTCTTACGTCGTCCGAACATATAGTTGTTAGGGCTCGTAATTCCCAGTCTTAACTCTGTATGCTTATATTTTCTCGAAGCCATTACGCAATCCGCGTCACAGCATACGTCACAACTCATGTGAACACTTTAAAAACGATTGGACAAGACGTGTCAATGCAAGCGACACTTTCTCAACCCGCTAATTTCACTGCTCTACATTGACTCTCACCAAAGACATATCGTTCCGCCGTGACCGGCCTTTCCATTTAACTAAGCATCATGTCTCCATATTTAATTTGTAAAACTAAGTATTTTATAATAGAAGCACAGACCAGAGTGTGATGAATTCGTATAGTTAGTGTTTTATTACAATTGTTAACTGTAATTCAATGTTGTACATAAAGTTTTTAATGGATCTACGATATTAAATGGTATTAAACGTTGCCAACATTTTATTTCCCACCAGCAGAAGGTAACTCAGATTTTTACAGTCCACTATAGTCGAAGGATGATGTAGCCCAGCACAGCCCCTCTGCATAATACTGCGTTAACATGAACGCATATTGTACCAAAAGATATCCAAATATATCTATCTAAAAAATATATTTTTTGGTTTTAATTCTTACGAAACAACTTGATAACTCCCATCTGAATGTAAAGAAAATTATTGAATATCTTACTTTTTTTTTCAGAGCCAGTTTCGTTTCGATAACGAGTGTAATATAAATTTGCCTGACAATCACAAAAGGGTGAGTGAATCTAGTGAACTGTTACCAACATCTAGCATGCCTCTGCCTTTGACTGCAACGGATGCACGTTCCGTAAGCATTTTATGATTTTTTTTTTTATTTTTTTGCACGATTGATTATAGATTTAAGTTAATAGAATTTTACGAGCTCTAACCACATAAAGTTCGGACGGTATATCATTTTTTTTTTTTTAATAAATACAAAATAAACTTTTAATAAAAATTGCGGTAAATTTTTATTTTCTACGCCTATTACAGACCACGTTAGTTTACATGCAGTACCTAATTAGTAATTCAAATATACGAAAAATTTGAAATATATAAATGTTAAAACGCCTTAAAACTCCAAGTTAGTCAACATTACATTAAAGTAATTAGCAAGGTATTTTTTGTTGCATTTATTTTTGTTATATTTGTTTTTCGCATTATGGTCTTAGAAAAAATAGTGTACTTAATTCGTACTTATAAAAATATCTATCGTTCGAACCTTGTTAGAGCACGTATGTTGTAATACAAGTGTTAAGCTAGCCTTTAAAGCACGAATAGTCTTGTACGCTTTAAGTGCTTTAAAGGCACACTTATCAGTCGCTAGTTTTTATTATACCTGCATTATAATTTGAAAAATTAAACTGTAAATTAAAATTTATTTATTTATTTAAATAAGATCAACTCCATTACAAAGCAAAACACATATAAATGATACAGATAATTGTAAATTATAAATTAAAAAATACAGGAGAAAAAAAAAGTTAAAATTATGTCAAATAAGTTTTAGATTAATAAATGCATTTTAAGTATTGTAAATCCGTCTGTAATATTTCATTTTTACTCTAGTGTGTTCGTACAGATTGCCTTAAATTTATTAAAAGAAATGCCTGTACCTCAAGATTCAATTGATTTATTACCCTCAGTGTTCGTTCAAGAATATTCTTGACGGGTAATGACATTTCGATACATTTCTGGATTATTCTATCTTCTTTTACTTGTACTTTTACTTATGACGACCGACCGCAGCACACTGTAGGGTGATGAGTAACCTTCCACTTCTTTTTCTATCTGTACGTTTCCTATAACAGCTGCAGGCTACTGCAGGGTGCTGCGTAACATTGCTCCCTCCTCTCTAGTTATTCGCCCCGAATAACTTGATTACTGGGACCTAGTTAGAACTAATGGGGAGGATCTGGGCCATGGTGTGGAACTATCATCCCAATGTGAACTACGTTGACTTTCCCGCTGATAGTTGAATGCGGCAGATCAGGTCGTTGACTTTCCTTAAGGAGGGAATAGAGGGCTTTCCCAGTTCCGTTGCGATTTCTGACGAAGTCCTCCTCGCTGCTTAGGATCGCACAGCCATACCTTGTCGCCCCTCTCAAAATGTGTATATGTGGCACGCCTGTCAATTTTAGCTTCTGCTTTATCGGTGTGGGCTTTCAGTCGATCCCGAGTGAGTCCATAGACCTTTGTCCTGCCATTGCATAAATCACATTTTTTACACCAATCCACTACATCCCGTCGCCAATTGATCCAATAAAATTTTTCCCGAACTCGTGCCAGTGTCCTCCTGAACGGCTGCTATGAAGCTTCTCCAATACTGTTCTCACCTATGACCTCGACAGTATCACTTGGCAGACTACATGTACTCCATCGGGACTCTCCCACTTCCGGTGCAATAGGCCATCGTGAAGATACAGGGAATCCCACTGAGTCCAGTACCCTTTAATAGCTCCACTGTATTTGGCTATCTCTTGCCAAATAGGTGTAACTTTATTTTTGAGCTATTCTCGAACAACTTTCAAATCATTGTCTTTCTTCTGCCCCTTTCTCAGGATTTCAAAGGCGATTTCTTCTTCATCGCCTTATAGTTTGATAGTGGTTGCCCGAAGGATAACTTTATCAACTGGTTCCTCCGGTTCTCCGAGCCCCTTACTATACCGGCATTCTCGTTCTAAACAGGGTCGCCTGGAAAGAATGTCTGCGTTGCTATGAAGACGGCTTCTACGATGCTCTACTTGCTGATTATTGCTAGAAAGCCGGCTCGGTGTGGGTGATTGACTTTTTCGGGACGCATAGCTGCTGTGACTATTTCTTGTCGGACTTCGTGACGGGCTTTGGAAGATTGATCTATGTGACCTTCCGGCCTCATTTCCTGATTTTCTATTCATAAAACGAGCTCTGCTTCTACAGGTTCTTTGAAGGTGCCCGATTCTTCCGCAATTAAAGCATCTTCTGTTCTCATTTTGACTATTTCGTTGCATATTTTGCAGGATATTTAATATTTGCGAGTGGATAGGTTGGGAACTAACATTACTATTGGCCTCCTAACTTTCCTGGGATTTAATTTCTCTTATTTTTGCGAGAGAAGATCTGGATAGGAGTTTTACCGCTTCATATTCCTAAGCTGCAATCAGTTTCTCCCTCAGCGTCTTGTGGTGTCGTAGACGAAGCACTTGCTGCATTTCCACATCTTGTAGTCCATCAATGAATGCTTGTATTCTGAGTTGTTCTTGGAAATCTTTCGGCACCTGTGGATAGGCCAGATGGATCAACCTTCTTGGAGTCGATATGATTCCCATGTTGTCTGACTGTCAAACGTGGATGGCTTAAGGGTCTTGCTAGTATAGTTTTGTGAAACTGGGATTTGAATATGGCTTGGTTAGATTATGGATGAAGACGAGGTAGTAGTGTTTGCAGCTTCAATGCTGTTTACTGAAGCTTGGCTGTAAATTCTTTTTTCTAACTCAGCCATTTCAGCCATACTTTGCCTTTTCAACTCTACTCTAGCCTGTTCTTGTTGTTCTAAATTAGCTTTCAAATTCTCTTGTTGTTTCTCTAACAGATCTATTCTAATTTTAAGCTGACTAACCTCTTGCTTAAAGGTTTCCTGGATTTGTAGCAAACCGTTCATTATTTCTACCTCAGCTTTTCTACGCCTTTCTTTTTTCTCTTCCTCTTCTTTCTTCCTACGCCTTTCTTTTTCCTCTTCCTCTTCTTCCTTCCTACGCCTTCCCTTTTCCTGATTTTCTTTCTTCCTACGCTTTTCCTTCTCCTCCTCTTCTTCTTTCATACGCCTTTCATTTTCCTCCTCTTCTTCCTTCCTGCGCCTTTTCTTTTCCTCCCCTTCTTCCTTCCTACGCCTTTCCTTTTCCTCTTCTCGCCTTACTCTCTCCTCTTTCATCTTCAAAAACCATGCTGGTGGGCCTGAGGTATCCATGCTTGCTTCGTACTCAGTGGATCTAGTATTTACCATGAACTTTTACTTTATATCCCATCGCTGTCACCAATGTTACACTGGTTTTAGGTATCACAATTTATTTTAATTTAACTTTACAATAACTCAATTCAACTTTATCAATAACGATTCAACTGATAACATTAACATGTGACGTATATCATAAAACTCAACTCTGACGTCAGGTCGTCGCCTTATATAGCTTGCTTCGACCTTCTAGAACCTCCTCGAACAATTTGAACTTTTCTTTGACAAGGAATGACATTTCTAGACATTTCGGGAATATTCTTCTCCTTCATTTACTCGTACCTTTACTTATGACGACCGCAGCACGCTACAGGGTGCTGCTTCTGCCTTTTCAGGCATTGGCTTAAGATCCGTATTCTCTTCCTAAAATAATTTAATCCATTATTTTCCTTTCCTGGCTAGTATCTTCATCTTTATCAAAGTTCTCCCCTTATCAATTCTGATCTCTTTAATATTGTCAATTAATTTTCTCCTGTGCCTTCCTCTTCACCATTTTTTTATTTTCCTATTTCCTTTATTTTTATCACTATTCTGAATGGTTTCATTCTTACTAGATGACCATACCACTTTAATTGTTTCATTTTTATCTTTGTCATCATTAGTTGATGTTAAGTTAGTTTAGTATAGGAAATAGCGCTTACGATAAAAAAGTCATGTTATAACCGTCTGACTCGTGGTATTTGAGCTCTATAGTAAATTTGAAGATTTTTTTCTATACTAAATGCGTGGCGGGCAGGCCGTTTCGGAGCTAGGGGAAGGGGGGAAAATCGAATTAACCGCCTAGAGTTAATATGTATATGTATCTAAATAATAGACGAATCAACGTCGTCAGACAATTTCCATTGGCGGTTCGCGAACGGGGAATTTTTGTTCGCTCCTGGGCCTTCCTCGTAGACTTTTTTTTATTTCCTTATTTCCTTTATTTTTATCGCTATTCTTACTTTGTTTCCTTTTTATCTGTCGTTATTGGTTCATGTTAAATTAGTTTTCTTAGAACTTCATTCCTTACTTTGTCCCATTTAGTTTTTCTCTCTATTTTTCACAAATTTTTAATTTCCATTACAGTTTTTTTTCTGTAGTCCCCAGTTATTGTTAGAACTATAATTATTTTGTCAATTTTAATTTTTGCATGATTATCAATTTCTTTATGTTCTAGTATTATTTTATTTAGGGAGTAGTATATTCTGGTTGATTTATTTGCTCTGTTAGTAAGTTCCACAGATGCTCTTCCTTCCTTTGTTAATATACTTTCTAGGTATTCATTTGTTATTACTTTTTCTAGTATTATTTTTTTATTCTTCATAATATCTTTCTGTTCTTGCTCTTTATTTTGCAATCATCACTTTGGTTTTATCATTATGCTAGAGAATAATTTATTTACGATTCAAATTATGTTCATTCCGATTTAGATTATTTTTATTACGATACAGATTATTTTCATTACGATACAGATTATTTTCATTACGATACAGATTATTTTCATTACGATACAAATTAGTTTCATTACGATACAGAATATTTTAATTACGATATAGATTATTTTCAGTACAATATAGATTAATATTTCATTACTATTCATTTTATTTTCGTTACGATTCAGATTATTTTTATTACGGTGCAGATTATTTTCATTCATTATCATCGAGGTTAACTTATTTACGATTCAGATTCATTACACTGCAGATTATTTTCATTACGATACAGTTTATTTTCATTACGATTCAGATTATTTTCATTTCGGTGCA